GCCGTTATCAGGTTCGACTGATGGTCCATGGGCCGGTTCACGAATATGTCACAATTCTGAAGCACCACTGCGGCGTCCCCAAAAATAAAGTCGATTGTCCCATAGATGTGACAATCGCGATAAAATTGTCTCAAAGAATGTACCATGAGGGTGTCTTGGTAGCCCTTGATGCTGCATCTATAAAAGAGGGCCCGGTCGGACGCAACCGCCAAGGCCACCGCTTGGTGTTTGTGCGGCCCCGCCGTGTTCTCGAAGGTCACGTCTCGTGCCCAAAATCCATCCCCCGATACACCTATCAACACATTCAACAAACTCATTATATTAGGAGCACTTCATTCCAAAAAAGAGGCACTTATTTTGACATCAAAATTTAACTAAAACATAATGACTTTTCCTAAATAACATCATATGTATTTTTTCCCCAAAATAGCACTTTAGTCATTATCCATTAGTCGTTATTCAAGTAAATGTTCGCCATTACTAGACATTATAGACATTATTAAGTGCTATTTAGAGAATAAAACAGTTTAAATACTATATAGGAAAATGACTTAAATTTTAGTGCTATTTAGTTCAAATATTTCAATTTTATATGGTGGCGGTGGACTCACGGAAGGTGGCGGAGCCGATGGTGGTAGCGCCGTCCTGGACGCTGCAGTCCCCTGTAATAACAGTCTTATCCATTCCATCGCCGACGAGCATTACATTCTTAAACCCCCTCCCTATCTCAACCCTCTCCCTGTACACTCCCCCTTTCAGGTACACCACCACCCTTCTCTTCTCCCCCGTTATTCTAGGCAACGCCTCCACCGCCTCGTTTATGGTCTTGTAATCGCCGGAGCCGTCTTGCGCCACCACTAAGTCCGCCTTAATCGATGCCGAAGACGCGCTCCACGCCGCCAAGAGCCCTGCGCTCTCCCCAAAACTTGCACTTTTCTTATGCCACACCCCTGCGTAGAAATTTGACCAAAAAAGTCAAACTATAAAAAAAATTTGGAAGAGAAAGTAAAAGGGGCATTTTCATGACATTTGCCCTCCTCCATGTCATCTTGTGACATAGGCTCATTTGGGGTCCATGTAATGCTCCATTCAAAAAATGGAGGGTCTTTATTTGATATCAATCACTCTGTTTTTTCTCCTACCCCCTAACTTTCTAGTAAACCCAATCCCGGGCCGACTGTCTGTTACTTCCTCTGTCCACCATAGATCTTCCCAGACACTATTCACAGGGTCAAACTTAGTTCACTTTGTTTGTTTATTTTTACTACTCATTTCATAAAATAGTATAATATTGTCACCTCTAGTTTTGTAGAACTTTTCATGTAGTTTATTACTACTATACATAGATTTTATACTAAAATTTTACCCCTATATTCAAATAAATTGAATTGAAAATAAAGTCTGTCAAGCCTCGTAACGCGCAACGGGAAGATCTTAGGTGGACGGAGGGAGTATTATTGTCTAATACCGACCTTCCGTCAATTGTCAATTGCACGTCACAATAGTTAGTTGATTTTAGAATCAAAATTTAACTTCAAAGTCAACTAAATCTTCAAAATCAACTAAATCTTGTGGAACGTAATTGATGGGTGGGGTGAGTTCAGGTCGGGCCAGGTGGAAAGTTTACCATCCAAGAGATTAGGGGTATGAAACGTCAATTTTTTTGAATGAAACATCGTAAAGACCTCGGGTCAGCCCATAACATTGGAAATCCAAATGTCATGGAACCAAGGGGCAATGTGTGTATATATGAAATTGGAGGGAAAATCATGTACCAGCTGTTCGGGTAGGATTTGTATTTTCCCTAGTGGCATATCTAGCCAAAGCATGTTTAAGTGACAAAGTTAGGTTACTATGAAAGAATTCATGGCGATAATTAGTTGATCCCATCTCGTCCAACCCATCCAAACAGCTCCGGTGGCTTGACAAGGCGGCACTGAGCCACGTGACGGCATCGGGGTCGTCAGAATCGCCTGGCGGCGCCGCCGCCACATCAAGTCGGGCGAGCCGTTCCTCCGCCGCTTCGTAGAGGGTGATGCAGTCGCTCATGGCGGCAGCGATACCATTATTGCCGCCGCCATGCAGTTCGTGAAGGTCGTTCAGGAAACTACGTGCCCATTCTGTGGCACGTAAAACGTCTGCACAGGCGGTTCGTAGGGCCGTCTCAAGGACGGTGTCTCTGTGACGAACCGCCAACAGAGGGTTACTAGGGGCAGTTTTAGGGAAACATGAAAGGTTGACGAGGAGGAGGAGGGCGGCGGCGGCGGAGGGAGACATTTCTTTCCAGTGAGCGGTGGCCGGTGACTACAACTAGCTAGCTAGAGTGTAGGTATATATATGGATAGTAATGATGATTTGAATATGGCATAAATGGATGGTGAGATGAGAAGGATACACGTACGGTAGGTAGCTTAGGTAGAGCGGTGCATGCATGCGATGTCCATGTGGCATTATATTGCTTTGTATCATCCCCGGCCTTCTTCTACAGTCTACAAGTTCAAACAAACAAAATAAGTTTAATGTTTTTCCTCAATTTAATGCCTTGCTATTCTGTATTCAATTATTTTAACTTTTAACATGTAATTAAATAGTACAATATACTACATATACTCCCTTCGTCCACAAATAAATTTATCGTTCACTATTTACATAGTCAAACTTTATTTACTTTGTTGATCTATTTTTGTCACCTATTTGATAAAATCATATAGTCATGTCACCTCTAGTTTTGAAGATCTTTTGATATAGTTTTTTAATATGTAATTTTTGTTTTTAAATTTTACACCATTTTTCATATAAAATATGATTTGAAAATAATTTCATTCAAATATTGTAATCGCAAGTGGAAGTTTATTTGTGGACGTAGGGAGTTAGGAGTATATTAATTAGTTAAAATAATATTTTAAAAATATTTTATAGTGAAATTTGCACTAAGTAAGACTAAAACATACTCCCTCCGTTTGGAAAAAGTGTTCCTATTTTGACTTTGTGTAAAAATAAGGAAGTATTAAATTGTAGTTGACTTCCAATTTTGCCCTTGATGTGATAGGTAAAAGTAAGATGTGATGGATAGATTATTAGAGATAAAGTATGATGTGATAGATAGGGTATGAAAAAGTAAGAGTAAAAGTGGTTTTTTAATAGAAAGTGGAAGTGTTTTGTTGGAAGTGAAAAAAATGAAAGAGGAAGTGTTTTAAAAAACGGAGGGAGTAAGTCATTTCGCAATGTAGTATTTAAACCTTTTTATTCCTTAAAATAGTACTTAATGATATTGTTTAGTACTTAAACTTTTTTTACTTGAATAATGACTAATAGATAATGACCAATGGTTCTACATTGAGAAATAAAAACATATGATCTTATATATTGAAAAAGTCATTATGTTTTAGTCATATTTAGATAAACTCCCCTATTTTATAAAATGAATCTAGTAAAATTGTTTTTGTATTAGTATGTATATCATTTTATTTAATTCTGGATCAAAGTTCACAAATACTAAAAAAATCAAAAATAGACAAATAATCAGAGAGAGAGATGGAGTATAATTTTTAAATTACAGCCATCATTTTATTGTTCATGAATTTGATATTTTTAAATGGGTCACATTCTATGGCCACTCTGTTTGAGAAACCAGAATGGACATGAGACACATACGGTGCTCCCAGTAAACCACTCACCCCGTCCCGACCCCAACCCATCTCTTTGCCCATGTCAATTATGTGGTGCAAGTTTAGTTAATTTTGATTTAATTTTCATATATCTTTATTAATAAATATATATTTTATTAAATTTATTTAAACTTTTAATACTCCCTCCATTCCTGAGTATTTGTCCACTTTTGACTTTTTCGGTCAAAACTGGTAAACTTTGACCTCAGATTAAATAATAACTATTTTAGATATTGATACAAAAATGGTTTTATTAAATTTATTGCATCTAATATTTTTTAAATATTATTTTATCTAATTAATATACAATATACTCCCTCCGTCCCACTGTCTTTGTCCACTTACCTTTTGGCACACCATCCAATGCACTTCTTTAATCCATTTTATCTTGTAATTTGTATATTAAAAAATTATAGAAATTATATATTAATAATCTATATGTTAAAACGAATCAAACAAGATCACACATGACTATTTTTAGGCTTACACATTGAGAGAATTTGATGAGTCAAAGTACTTAGATGAACAGTTCCAAAAGTCAAATGTTGAAAAAGACAGTGGGACGGAGGTAGTATATTTTATTTAATTATAGGTCAAAGATTAAAAACAGTTGACCGAAAAAAGTCAAAACTGGACAAATACTCAGGGACGGAGATAGTAATAAATAAAGAATAGTATAAAAAGAAGGATAAAGCTACTTGTACCCCAACCTTTTGTACCACACTTTGTACACCGCAAGTTTACACCAACATTTTGTACACCGCAAGTTTACACCAAAACTTTGTACCCCAAAATAACACATTTTGTGTTATTTGGGCCGACTAGTTCTTTTCACGCTACTGTGTGTGATTGGGTGCAATGTGCTCAAGACCCATTGTTAGCAGAGACGGTTGCTTGCAGAAAACTTTTACTTTGGCTGAAGTCCAGAGGCATTTATGAGGTCGAATTGAAGTATTCTCCGACTGCCTCCCATTGGTGGAGACTCCTGTCTCTAACACTTTCCTTCTTCAATCCCACTTCCTTTTTCTATCTCTAACACATTCCACAAAAGGGTACGTCTTTCAATCATTCATATTTTGACTCTTTGGTAGAGGAGATCAAGACTCTCATGTCGAATTTTATCTTTATTTCTATCGCTTTTGTTCCTCATTCTTGTAATGTTATTGCTCACACCCTTGCTAGGCGGGTTGACAACGGGGTTGGTTTTTGGGATTCGATCTCACCTGACTTTGTTGGTTCTCTTCTTCATTAATGACATGTGATCGTTTTTCTTCAAAAAAAATTTGAACCGACAACTATAAACTAATGGTAATATTGGAATTTAAAAAAATAAAATATTCTAGATCGAGATGAAAGACGTAAGGAATATTGGGAGTACGGAAATAGGGGAAAAGTCCGAATGTTTTACTTTTACCCAATACTTGAAAATTATTTTTCCCATTTTCGGGTGTTTGGTAAATTAAAAAAAAGAGGATCAAGTATTGAGTCAAAAGAAAATTATTTTAATCTGAAAGTCATTTTGGACTGCGTTTCTTCTCTTGATCTTCCCCGCTCGCACCTCCGCCTGCATCGGCTCTCCAACCCACATCGCCGCCCTTCTCCGAAAAAGGCAATCTATCTTTTTCTTCAATATTGTTTTGATTTTGTTGGTCATATTGAAGGGTTTTTTCGTTGTTTATTGTTTTTTGGTTAGATCAGAAATGTTATACGAGTATTGAAATTGAAAACCTATTGGGAATAAAAATAGATATTGGATCTAGAATTTTTAAAAGACTATCTACGAACAGCGTTTAGCGTTAGCATTTTTAAACGAATCTGTTCTGTTGAAATTTTGTCCGAAATGTTAACGCTAATCTCTAACGTTATTTAGAAATGGAGCCAAAGTAAACTCAAAAGTTGTTGAGAAATTGAGTCTAAATCTACTCCCGAGACCCATTTGTTTGGCCACCAACCTCTCTCACTACTTAACACCAACAGGTTGTTGAATTTTACTCTCCAACCCACCCACCCACCATTTCCATTGAAGAAAAAGGCACACTCAAGCTCTGCGGCGAAGGCGCAGAGACATGGCGCAAGCTAGCACCGCCATGATTCAGAGTTTGCGTTTCAACACCAAGAATCTCTCTGCACCCCAAACCCTTCTCCCTTCACCTTCTCTTCTCCCTGGATCAAACGGGTGGTGCAATTCAGCGGTCTCTGTTAAATTCTTGGAGAGGACCAATAATAAAGGTTCAATTTTTACTGCTACCCGGTCGCCGTTGCTGGTTCGGGCATCTGCGGCAACCGCCGAGAAGCTGTCCAAAGCTCCCGAGGAGATTGTGCTTCAACCCATCACAGAGATTTCCGGCACCGTCAAGCTGCCCGGCTCCAAATCTCTCTCTAATCGCATTCTCCTCCTTGCCGCCCTTTCTCAGGTAAATTTGTGAAATTTTGTAACATCTTAGTCTAAAGATTGCATCTTTTTTTTCAATGATGTTTGGAGAATATGCTTTGGCTCAATTCTTTGATGATTTCTGCCTGTTAATCTGTTCTGGGCTTGATTACACGTTTCTGCACAGGGAACGACTGTGGTGGAAAATTTACTGAACAGTGATGATGTTCGTTATATGCTTGGTGCTTTGAGAACACTTGGCCTTAGGGTTGAAGAAGATGGTTCAATCCAGCAAGCAACCGTAGAAGGTTCAGGCGGTCTCTTCCCTGTCAGTAATGAAACGAAGGATGAAATCCAACTCTTCCTGGGGAATGCAGGAACAGCAATGAGACCATTGACTGCTGCAGTTGTTGCTGCCGGTGGAAATGCAAGGTATTGCAAGATTGCTAATTCTTGATATTGATGGGAACAATTTCCTCCAGATTGTTAATTGCTTTGATTTTCCACTAGGTACGTACTCGATGGAGTTCCTAGGATGAGAGAGAGACCAATTGGGGATCTTGTCCTTGGCCTGAAGCAACTTGGAGCAGATGTTGATTGTTTTCTTGGCACAAACTGTCCCCCGGTTCGAGTCAATGGAAAGGGTGGCCTTCCAGGAGGGAAGGTGACACTTACGCTATGCTTAGAATTTGGAAAACGCTAGAGAATTTGAGAAAAATTGTTGAAGGAAAATGACTTCTTATGTATGGTTTCACCTTAGAAAATTCAGACAAAAATATAATTTGATCCCAACTTTTGAAAACTTCACATATATTTATCCTCCCTTTTTCTTTGTATAGCGATTTTTGTGTTCCAAGCGGACCCTTAGGGCTCCTAGTAATATGCAGTGGCCTGCCTGCGTGGGCTGCAAAACATAGTTTTCCAAATCTTGCATCATTCTAAGTGATTCTTGTGGACATTGTTAACAGGTGAAGCTCTCAGGATCAGTCAGCAGCCAATACTTGACTGCTTTACTCATGGCTGCTCCCCCCGCTTTAGGCGACGTGGAAATTGAAATAATCGATAAACTGATCTCCGTCCCTTATGTTGAAATGACTATAAAGTTGATGGAACGTTTCGGGGTCAGCGTAGAGCACAGTGATAGCTGGGACCGGTTCTTGATCCGTGGAGGCCAGAAATACATGTGAGTAGATTTCGTGTCATTGCAGGCGTTTCTTGTTTTTTTAGGTGTAAAATGGGGATTTTGATCATTCATAATTTCCATCAGATCTCCCGGAAAAGCATACGTGGAAGGTGATGCTTCAAGTGCTAGTTATTTTTTAGCTGGTGCTGCTGTTACTGGGGGTACCATCACAGTTGAAGGCTGTGGAACAAGCAGCCTGCAGGTATTTATATTAATCACCCTTTCTTCTATCCTTGACAAGATGATGTAATAAGGTTCAAATTGCCTACCCCATTACAAAAAAGACTGAATTGGTTATTAACTTGGTAGATAATTTCAAGTTTGCTTGATTATTTATTGTTGAGACTGGCTGTTGTCACCCTAACTCCACACTTATATTGGTTAATAACAATCCTTCCCTCAAACCAAGGACCACACAATTCTAATCTCAAGGGAATTGAATCACATTGTATTCACTCTTCTTCTTCTTCTTTTGCTAAAGGGGGATGTTAAGTTTGCTGAGGTTCTTGGAAAAATGGGCGCCGAAGTTTCATGGAGAGAGAACAGTGTCACAGTGAAAGGGCCGCCACGTCAGCTTTCGGCGAGGAAACACTTACGTGGCATTGATGTGAACATGAATAAAATGCCCGATGTCGCTATGACCCTTGCCGTAGTTGCACTATTTGCTGATGGCCCCACCACGATTAGAGACGGTATATATATGCAAGACTCCCTTTTTTTGCAGTTCTTTTATCAAAATCACATTCTATCATCATATGACTGGTTTCAGAAGCTCATTTATCTTTGTTTCTTCTCCTTAGTTGCTAGCTGGAGAGTTAAGGAAACCGAGCGGATGATTGCTATATGCACTGAACTTAGAAAGGTTGACAATACATTCCAACTCCATCAACATTCTGATTTGTTCTGTTTTTCGCTTGGGTGTTTTTCGCTAAAACACTTATTTTTCCAATTCAGTTGGGAGCCAAGGTGGAAGAAGGTCCAGATTACTGTGTGATAACCCCACCAGAGAAACTGAACGCGACAGAAATTGACACTTACGACGACCACAGAATGGCAATGGCATTCTCTCTGGCTGCTTGCGCGGACGTGGCCGTGACCATTAAGGATCCTGGATGCACTCGCAAGACCTTCCCAGATTACTTTGATGTTCTTGAAAAGTTCTCCAAGCATTGAAAGTTTTGGTTGAAGAATCTTGAGACAGCTATATATTGTTCATTACCCTGCCTGCCATGCATGATGCTTTGGTTTCTGCCTCAGCTGTGGATGATGTTTTACAAACATATCAGGCATCAAAGGTATGTGTTTTTGTGTTCCAAAAACCGTGGAGAAGAACAACTGGAAGGCCCTTTTTTTGGAATTTCAAGATTCCATTTGTACTATAGTCATTTGCTTGTAAGTTTGATGTCTTCTTCTTCTGTTTTAAAATTTAATAAACTTGATCTTAATGTGATTGCTGCATAGCCATTTTTTTTCTTATCACGGTTTGACTTTATAGTTAAATTTATCAAATTTAATTAATCGTTTGTTATTTATAGATTATTCTACTCTATTTTCTCAAGTTATGGATATATGTTGTGTCTATATTCATTTACTCCGTAATTTTTAATGAATGTAAGAAACTATATAGGTAAGATATCTAAGAATGAAGGGAGTTATGTTTTCTAATCAGAAAAGTTAAGCTTTAAAACTTTACTTCGTATATCAAAACAAGTTTATGAGTACTAATTTCATGCTATAAATTTGTAATATGAAGTTTGATTATAGAAGTGAAATTTGATTGTAAAAGTGAAATTGTTATTTTTACATTGGTCAGGGGAAATAATACCCCGTAATAAAATTTCATGGAGTGCGGTTTCAGATAGAGAGATTGGAGTATAAAACTACAGCCTCTTCGTCAAGTCTGTTTGTCGAGTTTAATTTTCTTGAGTCAAATTGAACAATTTTGAAGTTTAATTACGCTCAATTTGTATTACATATTAGTGTCATTAAATAAAAATTTGAAAGTTTCTAACAAGTTAACTTTAATAAAATCATTTTTATACTAATATAAGGAGTACATTACAATTTTTATTTAATTAAAGTTCAAAGGTCATCCAGTCTGTCTCAAAAAAATCGAATTAGATAACTACACTGAGACGAGAGAGTAAGTCGATAACTACATTTCATACGGAATACTATTCTAGTTCTGAGATATCGAGAAAGAGAATATTGATAGAGCATGGTACTTAAATTTCAATAATAACATGGGGTCTTTAGTACTCGGTGTTAAAGTTATTCGGGACCATGCTAAGTGTACCCCACTTTGTGTATACTATTTTGTATATCATATCTTTGCACCAGCACTATGATGGTTAATACTAGCATACAATATCAGGTTAATTTTTTGTAATCGTATTACGGAGTAACATTTTGTGTATCTTTGAGCTATTAAAATGTAGATGCAAAATTATGGTGAACAAAAATAATGTACAGGTAGCATTATTTTATTCAAAATGAAAGCTTACTTGCATATATAGCTTGTTTCGAGTCATAATTTTTTTTAGACATTGCCTTAAACATGTCTTATTTAATGGTGGGAAGGAAAATATAATGGCTTCCAAATGTGGGAAAATACTTTGTGTACTTCCTTCTGTTTCTTACTCACATTAACATAGGAAATGTGTTCAAAAAAAGAAAAACTAGAGTATAGAAAATCTGGTCGTGTGTAGTAAAAGAGTATAAGACTTTTTTCATCGGCAAAAAAATAACAAACAGAGTGATGAGATTTAGCCCATCGACTATGGAAGTACGAAGAACTTAAACGTAATAAAAGACAATTTCTTGGAGATTCTTAGTAATGCTTGTATTTGTTTGATTCAACTTGAGTTACAATGGAGGATTTATCTGTTTATAGTCTAATATTGCTACGTACATGACATTAATTCATGCGCTACATACATTATCAGCATGATTGGCCTGACGTGCGTCGATTGTGGGCGATAAATCAGTTGTCAATTACCCACGATCAGTGGGATTACGCTTCACTTATATTCTCGATCCGGGTCGATGTGTCAGGCCTCCAGATGGCACCTCCTTTGGCCAACTTGCATTCAAACTTATTATCCATGATGATAATTCGGCCCTTTAATTGTATTAAGCTTTGAATAACACGTTTGAGCCTACGTATTCTACTCACTGAGCATGATATCCATCAAGTAATTATCGAGTAAAAAAAGAAGGAATAAAAAGGAAGAAGATTAAGATTACCAGAACTTTTTTTATTATTCACTTAGGAAGAAGACAAGTGATTCTACCGAGTTCAATCAAGGTTTCCTGTTTAAGTTATTCCAAATGTTCACCAGTTCACGTTCAATTAAGTACTACATCAAAATTTTTATAGAAAAAGCCGTCAATGATATTTTTATTTATCAAATGATCAATAAAAATTACAAATAAACAAGAATTGTCAAGAGAGCCGGAGAGCGTAATAATAAAAAAGTAAATCATTTTAGGATCGATGGAATATCAATAAATTTATTTTTAAAAAATCTAGAAAAATTTATTTATAATTAAGATATTAATAATCAAAATGTTGCATTTAAAACTAAAAAAAGTCAAATCACAAAAAAGAAAATGGGAGTAATGAAAAAATATTTGTAATTTTGGGGGTAGTGGATGGAGTCATTCAATGTTGGACTACTAGTGGTAGAAGTAGAGATTGAGGATGGGTGGATTAATCATGAGTCCACCATAATTCCTCCCTCATTCTTTGCCATTTTTCTTCTTCCACCACACCGCACCTCTGTCTTCTTCCTCGCCACCAATTAGTCCACT